GGTTTTTACTTATACAAATTGGGTATTATTTATAGGAACAAAAAGTGAAGGGTTGTAGGTATGGCAAATTGAATTTGAAGGTGTTGAGGCCCAAAAAAGTCACGGTTCGGCCCAAATAAATTCTCGACCCAATGCAATACCTTACCGAGAAGAAACCCAATTTGGGCATGCGAAAGTTCGTAATATGCGCTTGCACACACGCCACGCCAAGCAAATAAACAACACACCACGCTACAAGCTTAAGTGGGCCCAAGCCACGCAAGATGCCTGGGGCTTGCTTGAGTGGGTTGTGGTATGGATGGTAATAAGTTGACATGATGAGGCCCATTGATGGGCCAAGAAATGGAAGTCCCGGGGTTGCTTGGGAGCCTCGGAACTCATGCCTATTTCTTAGGCCCAAACATGTGGGTGAGCACAAAGAGAAAATATCCCAACCAAAAAGCCCAACCGAAATAGCCCATTACCCCAACCAAAATAGCCTAACCAGAAAATAGCCCATTACTCAAACCAAGAATGGCCCATTGCCTCAATCAAGATGGCCCAACACTTAAGGGTAGCTCATTTATTTAATTATTGTCATGAAAGGCCCATACAATTAGGATAAGAAATATCAAAAGCTCCAGCACTTGGCTGGAGGACAAAGCTGCGCAAGGAGCTTGGAGGACCACGTGCACAGAGCATCTGTAGAGCTTCAGCCATGGAAGGAACAAGTTCCAAGCAAAAACCTTCAAGGGACCAAGGGATATTGGCGCGCAAGGAAGGATGCCACTTTTCGAACCAGCATACATAGCCATTTCTTTTCCTCATCAGATCTGGCCATGGAAAAAGGATAAAAGAAGAAAAATGAGAGGGATGAAAATAGGAATTCTTCACAGAGGCAGCCGCGGGAAAGGGGGCCTTGAGCTCCCAAAATCCCTGATTTTATGCAGAGGAGCAGAGTAGATTTCACCACAAGAAGATGATTGAAAGGATGAGGAGAGAAAGGAAGGGAAAGACTTGGCCAAATTGGATAGAAGCCATTAGGGTTTCTTGGAAAATGACAGCTTCCAGCGCCTATAAAAAGAGGCATTTCCTACCCATCATAACAACACACATCCAGAGAGCAAGCTTCCTCTCTTGCATGCAAAACCCAGCAATTTTCGTGCTTAGTTCATCTCCTTCCTCAGTTTTCCCTCTTGCTATGCTATTCTGACATTTGATAGAGTCATTGTCAAGCTGCCGGAAATAGCACTCACGCCACCATCCCTTTCTCTCCCTCCTTTCTTAGCCAAACCTCTTTGCAAACTCTCCATCTCCTACCTTAATACCCCTTTTCCCCCCAAGAACACTCAGTTTTCTCTTCGGTGCTAAACTCATGTCGATTTTGCTCCCATGCCACAAGCTTCTCATGCCAAGCCAAGAATTTATCTGTAAGCAGCCATTATTTTCGTTGGTGAAGGTAATCAAGGTGTTTCCTAAGGCTTTACAACCCTTTCGAAATATTTTGGGGTCTGATCTTTGAACTCAGACACAAGGGGAAAATTTCAGCCATTTTGCTCCTTACGGCGGCCCAGCCCATCTGTAGCTGCCAGAAGTAAAAGACCCCCACAGAAGGATGTAAGCCAAATTTACTATAGTTTAAACAAACAATTTTATCTTATTACGTCATCTAAATTCCTAAATTTGTATTCATTTCATCCGAATGGACCATGAAATTTTTTTATGTGACATAAAGATTAGTGAATGAACAAACATGTTTTCTTTTTTCATGCTTTACTATTGCCTTGATAATTTTGTTTGTTCAGTCTGCGCTTTTGAAAATATACTAGTGACTATTATTATTATTTATGTATAAGGATCTCAATGGTCTCTAAAATACAGGAGACGGGAAACCTGAAATTGGAATTTAGATGTGAAAGAGTGACTGATCAAAACGGATAGCAATGGCAGGTGCGGTATTGATTTCTTTTTTGTTCTCAACAGAAAGTATGAATTTTTTTTCTTAAAGTCTTCTCTTCTACTGAGGCAACACTGAGAAAAATAATGAGAGAGAAAAAATAAGAGAAACAAAAGTTGGTTTCTATCTCAAACTGCTGCAGTTTTTTTATGCAGGTGGAAAATGAAAATGATCATATAATTTTCTTCTTGCAATATTACAATTTACATGTTAACATATACCATATGATATTGGCTCTCATCATCTAATTCTCTCTTTCTTTGGCTGTAGCAGAGTTTGTGGAGCTTGTTGCCTCTATCATTGGTTGTCTGCAGAAAACACCCTGTTTAGGCAAGCCCCTTGAAGAGAAATATAATTTTTTCACAAAACACAAAGAATATCTAGATACTTTAAAAAATGGCATGGTCGATTTGGAGAAACGAAGGTGTGAAGTAGAGAGAGAATCTGAGGAGAAGGTGGTGAGCAAGCCTTACAAAATCTCCGACTGGTTAAAAAAGGCAAATGAATTCATAGCTGAAACTAAGTAATTGAATTTTGAGGACACAATAAGTGGGAATTTGTGTGGTTTCCCAAACTATTATCGCTCACAGTATAAAGCTGGGAAGACCATTGTTGGCAGAATTGAAACGGTGAATAAACTGATTGAGGAGGGCTCAAATTTGTTCAATGCGGAAGAAGACTTTGTGGTGGGATATATACAGAAGAAACACAAAAGAACTGGTGGGCAAGACACCAAGTGCTTTTGAGAAGATTATGAAGTGCGTTTCAGAAAAGGAGGTTGGAATCATATGTGTTTATGGGATGTCTGGTTCGGGCAAGACTGAAGTTGTAAAGCAAGAAATAACCAAATATTAAAAGAGTACAAACGTTGTGCCTCAGAAGATGGAAATATTGCCGACCATTTTGAGAAAGTTATATGCCTGACTGTAGAGAATATTGGATCAACTGACGCAGCCATTGATGCCCTGCAGCAGGACATCAAAAAGGAATTCCAACTTGACCGCAATGCCGGGAACAGAGCAGACACGTTGGAAAGTGAGTTGTGGAGGAGAAGATTTCTGATCGTTTTGGATGATATGGGGAAAGAGTTGTCTCTCGAGCATATTGGGATTCCATGGCAAACAAACAATGGCTCCAAGGTTATAATCATATAGAAATCACGGCCAGTGTGCAGGGACATCAAAATTGATAGAGAGGTTGAAATCATACTTCTATCAGACGAAGAAGCACTCAAGTTGTTCGAGGTTGAAGCTGGCATTGGATTATCATACTCGAGCTGCCGCGGAAGACATAGTACGTGAGTGTGATGGTCTGCCCGTAGCGATTGCTGGCCTGGCACAAACCTTAAAAGAAATAAAGAAATTTGATCCTAACGATGTCGATGCCGAATGGAATGGAGCATTTTATAAGTTAAGAAATTCTATTGTTCTGTTGGAAAGAATGAACAGGAAGGCATTTGCTCGTCTGAAATATAGCTACTCTATGTTGAAGAAAGAAGCTCAGCAGTGTTTCCTGTACTGTGCATTATACCCACCTGGTCATTGCATTGAAAAGAAAGAGTTAGTGGAGCATTGGTTTTGGGAAGGTTTATTGGGTAGCAGAAAAAGAATTAAGGGGCAGCTGATAGAAGATATGATACAAGCAAGAGAGATACTGGATGAGATCGAAAGAGCTTACCTTCTGGAAACAGTCAGTGAAGGTGGAAATGAATGCATCAAGATGCGCAACTTCATTAGGCATATGGCAGTCCATCTGACCAATACAAGAACTGATCATGATCAGTTTCTCATCAAAGCCGGGGAGAAGCTTACCGACTGCCCGCTGTTAGTGAAGAACTTGTCTAAAGTAGAGAGAGCCTCATTGATGAGAAGTCAGTTTAAAGCACTTACAGAAAAACCCAGGTTTCACAAGCTATACACATTACTTCTGAAGCACAACCCCATCTCTCACTTGGATGACGATTTCTTTTGTAACATGCCTAACCTCAAAGTTCTAACCTTTCTCATACCAATATCTCTACCCTTCCAAAGTCAGCCTCTTCTTACTTGACAAAACTAAGGGCACCCCTCTTGCGCGGTTGTTGCCACTTAACATCAATGCCTTCTTTAGATAACTCGGAGGAACTACTTGTTCTGGATCTTTCTGATACTCACATAACAGAATTACCTCATGGCATGAAGAAACTAACCAAACTTATTTGCCCCCTCGACCTGTCTCGTACCAATGTGGGAGAATTTCGAGCTGAATTAGTGCGTGAGTTAAAAAATCTAGAAGAACTCTACTTGATGATAACCAATGACTCTGCAGGTTCTGTGTGGGGATCAGAGAAAGGAGCAAGTAGTATGTGGGGATCAGAGAAAGCATCTAGTATTCAGGAGCTGGGAGCCCTTCAGCACTTAGCTATTCTTCAAGTCAACTTCCTGGATGCAAAATCCTTCAATACATATGTCAGTTAAAAGAATCATTCTCTATCCAAATTCAAATTCTCCGTGGGTGGTTCTTGGGATGAAACGAAGTTGGCTGAAAACAGCATAGTTTTCATCAAAAGTGACTTCCTTGTGAGCAAAAGACCAATCTCACTCCCAGAAGATACCGCTGAGCTGCATGTAATGAGCAACAAGGATCTACGTTGGTTGCCTATTAGCCGTCGATGTTGTCTAGACAGCCTGAAGGTCATAGATATATCTGGCTGCGAAAGTTTGGTCTATTTGTTCAAGAGGAACGTGTCATACAACCTTCCAAACCTCGAAAAAATTTCGGTTAGAAAATGTCAGAAGATGGAGGGCTTAATATCAAAAGAAGACCCCTTGCCATTTGCACTTTGTTTGAATAAACTAAAGGTCATCCATATCTCAGACTGCGAAAATTTGGGCTACTTATTCAGGATTAAGATGGAATCTTGTCAGTCTACCTCTGACCAAAAAAAGATGTACTCGACCTGCTTCCCAAACCTCCAAAGAGATGCGCATTACAAGACGCTGGAGGATGAAAGCGGATAAAGAGCCGAAAGAACCCAACGCTTGTCCTGCTATTCATCCAAGACCAACGGACATTATGTCGGTTGATCCACTTGAATTGAAGAAATATTATGATTTTGAAAAGAAGGATAATCCTCAGGAACACATTTGGTACTTTCCTGATCTAAAGATGCAGATCATAACTTCTCTGCCTGAAGAACTGCTACCTCGGCCAAGGTTAGTATGCCACCAACAATTAAACCTTGTTCATTGTACATGTTAGAATTTGTGTCTTTTTTCTGCCATGCAAACAACAGTGTCAAGGCAGTGAGGATTAATCTGTCCTCCAGTATGTTCCATGAATGTACATGCCTAACCAGAGGGTTGGATAACATGGCATTTTACTTTGTCTTTGAAGGCATTTGTCTTTAAAAGTTTGCAATAGATTTATTTTAGAAGATTGATACACATGGCCACGGTGGTGTCCTATGATATGTTTAGAGTTTGAAGCAATTTGGTAAAACAAAATGCAAATCTGAGTTTGTTCCCCTTATATTAATTGGAAGTTATTAACTCTGAACTTTTATTTTCATGAAAATATCATTCGGGATCATTCAGTAGCAGCAATCAGATTAAAAGGAGTCGGAGCAGTGGTATGTCCTTCCTCTCGCACTCAATTTTTCACATAATTGTTATGAGGATTATTTCTTCTTCTCGTTTGGTAACGTTCTGTTTTCGGTGTTTGCAGACTCTATAGAGAAGCTAGCAGCCAGTACAGACGGTACGCTTTTATTAATTGGTGTCTGAACTCTGTTTTCTTTCTTTCTCAGGATTCATGACTGATCAACTCCACCAGATTGAACTGGAATTTCTTACATGTTAACTTGGGCGTATTTTGCTCCTTGTTAGCCAGACTTTCAAAATGATAGGAAAAAGTGTAGTGATATTAGTTTATATACTTTTCATATTTGCTGGAGGGTCCTGTGTGTGAGAATGTGAAGAAATATTTCCACATTGAAAATGGCTAAACAGCTTCACGTCACCTAATAATGCACTTCTTATAATGTGGGACATTTCTTCACATTCTCACAGCATACACTACCCAATTCATATGCTATGAAGGATGAGATCATTTGCATTTGAAATGATCGTTGCAGGGCCACTTTTAGCTGTTGATTTGGTAGTTAATCCCCTTCCTTCCGTTTTTTGATACAGATAATAAGGAGCTTTTGAAACCAACTACTCAACCTTCAGCTGCTGACAATAGTACTAATAGCATTCTACAGAATGTCGGCAACACGGTCCACGGGTTACTAGTTACCCCTAACTTACTTAGGGTTCTATTGGTGCACAAATTTACTGCAACTATCTGGTCCAGACAGGGCGGACGTCAAAATGCTGCAGAGGCTATTCCTCAGGTAACCAAATAAGTAGTGTTACTTTTTGTCTTTTGTTCTATAGAGAGTTTGTTCTTTATATAGTGTTTCTGATGATGCAGTTCATTATATGTGCAGGTCCGGGATCAAGAGGAAAATGCTATTGAGCCCAGCATTGGCATCCCAGTGCACGACTAAACCTACTCTCTTTCCTCTACCTTCCTTTGAGTTCCAAAATAAACTACTTTATCTACCTACCCTTTCACTTACTATTATTTATCGTTGTAATAATACAGGGGCTAAAGACAGTCCTTGCTCGACCACTTGATCCATATTTATATTTGTAATGTAACTTTTTTTTCTTTTCATTATCCTTCCTTTTGTGATAAACATGCAATAAAGTCTCCTCAAAAAGAGCTATATATATATGAGTAATGCTATTTAGACGCACAACATTGACCACTTTAGCTGACCAACTTATGTGGCAGCTGATGTGTCTTGCCATGTCAATTAATGAATGTTGTCATATGTATTCTATTTTTTATTTATTCTCTTTTCAATATGCTCTGGCTGGACCATGATGAATTTGTTTACAATTGATGGACGATTTTGCCCAAAATCTCTAATTATTTTCAACTTTCGAGGTTTGATGATGGTGATTTATGTTAGCAAATGGAATTTTTCACATTCTTACCAAGGTAAGGGTTTTTTTTTTCCCCCCTAAAACTGGTAATCTGGTTTTCCATCAAACTTTCTCTAAAGGGTAAAAACGGGTTTTAAGGTGTCAAAAATAACTCAGACCCAGAAAATAACAGCAGCAGCCAGCAGGGCCAGGCCCTGTCTGCGAGCAAATGAATGCCATAATTGAGAGGGGTTGGTGGGCTTGTGATAAATGAGGACTTATATGTACGAGCCCTCACTCAAAGACCCTCAAGACAAGACTGAAACAATCTGATTCTTCACTCAAATTCAATCACAAAAGGGTATCTTGGATTTTATTGGACCGCTCGATTGCTCCGATTCGGTGAGTTTCTTCTCTGTATCCAACACGTTTTTCATTTTAGAAAACAGACGTTGCTTTGATTCTTGCACCAAGTTTTGATTGATTGCCTTACATTTGTACTTACTGGTAGCTGAAATTCCTCTTTCCTTTTATGCTGCGTCTGATCAATTTTGGGTTTTCTGGTTCGCTCGCAATAATCCTGAATAGTGGAACGAATTGTGAGGTCTTGATTTCAATATCTGATCTTTTTGCAATTTCCTCAAAAACCAATTGCAAAGGTGAAGACTTTGGAGTGAAAGTTTTGACAACATCAGGCAATATCCTAAATTTAAGAACTTTGAAACATCTTACAAAATTAGGTTCACCTTTTAAAAAGACCACATTGCAAGAAGATATCAAATAAGCGTGTGACCTTTTAGTGCTCACAGAATGCAATATGAAAATTGCAGATGCCCTTTAGAGTTGTTGCTCCTGTAAATGTTTACTTGGTGATGGCACGCTTGAATAATGAATCAGTTGGGATATGGATGGCTGTTTAGTACCTTCCATATTGAACTTAACATGTAGAATCTGAAGATCATGTAATATTCTTTGGGCAGATTCCAACCTTGGGCTCCATCTCACTGCTGAATAATGGATTTAAGTACAATGGATCGGGGCCAATTGACGCTGCTAGGATCTGCAGCTTGTGTGATGCTTACAATGCATTTCACAGTCCAGTTACTGTCACAACATCTCTTTTACTGGAAGAACCCAAAGGAGCAGAAGGCTATAATAATTATTATTCTTATGGCTCCAATATATGCAGTTGACTCATTTGTGGGCTTATTGGATATTCAGGGAAGCAAAACTTTTTTCATGTTTTTGGACTCTATTAAGGAGTGTTATGAGGCTCTGGTGAGTACCTCCAATTTCTTTATGGCAGTTGTCCTTTTCAAGTGTCTCTTATGGCTTGCCTGAATCTCTAACTTCTCATGTTCCTACTTCCAGGTGATTGCTAAGTTCTTGGCTCTAATGTATAGTTACCTGAAGATATCCATAAGCAAAAATATAGTGCCAGATGAAATCAAAGGAAGAGAGATTCACCACTCGTTTCCTATGACTCTTTTTCAGGTGCAGGATAGTTTTATGCTCTTTCAGTTTCCAATGCAATGGACATTATGGTTCTGAATACTAGCACTGATTTTGGAATATAAGCTTATCTTTCTAGTTAAAAAGCATAATTTATTGAATATGTTGAATCTATCATATATTAACAGATACAATGTGGCTTAACAAACTGCAGCCTCACACCGTTCGGCTAAACCACCATACCCTGAAGCTACTCAAATATTGGACTTGGCAGTTTGTCATCATACGCCCAGTTTGTTCTGTTTTGATGATAACACTACAAGCACTTGGACTGTACCCCAGTTGGTTGAGCTGGACATTCACTATCATTCTTAATGTTTCAGTTTCATTAGCGTTATACTCTCTAGTGGTGTTTTACCATGTGTTTGCAAAGGAATTGGCACCGCATTCCCCACTTGCAAAGTTCCTGTGCATCAAGGGAATAGTCTTCTTCTGCTTTTGGCAGGTACAATTTCTTGACCTCTTCAGTTCTTTTGCATGCCTGATTTGTATATGCAGCCTTAAAGAGTCAAGGATATGAAACCCCTCTATAAGCAAATCCACAAAAACACCAAGGACAAGGATATGAAACCCCTCTATAAAATCTCCTAGTATTATCTGAGTTGCTGGTTGTTGTCTTTTGAAATCGAAAATAATTTAACTTGTTTTGAACTGCTCACCTCATTTGACGGAATTACAATTTAACAGCGATTTGCTGCAACATAGGCAGAGTTTGGTTTAATATTCTCTGTTTTTAGACTTGGAAGCAAAGACATTTAAGAAAGTGGGAGTTGGTTTGTAACTGAACCACCATTGACTTAATCAGCTGGTTCTATTGGAAACTGGTTTCTGGTCAAAAACTTGATCACTACCAAGACCTTTTGCTGTTTTCTTTTCGTATTTATTTATTTTGAAGTGCCATTTATACTTGTTAACAAATGAGACTTCTTGAACCATTTGCAGGGAGTGGTGATTGACGTATTAGCTGCTGTAGGCGTCATTCGATCTCATCATTTCTGGTTAGATGTGGAGCACATTGAGGAAGCTATTCAGAATGTCTTGATTTGTCTGGAGATGGTGGTGTTTTCTGTTCTCCAGCAATATGCATACCATGTTGCACCTTACAGCGGAGACGTAGAATCAAAAATGAAATTAAACAAGAAGAGGGAGTGATTTGAATAGTTTTCATATAAACATATACAAGAGTGTGATTTCTTTTTCAAGTTTTAGTAAAATGTATCACCTCTCAATAATATTACGTGTGTTTGGACCAACTTTGAGCTACTTTGAACTATCTTCCTTAAAAGATGAGGTGTTCAATTGGATCATGTATTTCATACAAATATTTTTTTTCAGGATAATTTATTCTATTTCCTCAGTTTAGTTGGTTAGTTAGTGATGACATTAATGTTCGTAATTGATGGTATAAAAAAAAAAACATGTTATTGTTGTTGGTTCAATCAAACCAACATTACCAAAATCACAGCAGATTAGCAATAATCTATGGGATGACCAATGGATTGGATTAAAAAAAACACATGTAAACAGGAGAGAGAGAGAGAGAGAGAGAGAGAGAGAGAGAGAGAGAGAGAGGGTCCAATGATCAACTACCAAACCAAATTAATATCCCAATCATCAATCATCAATTATCAACCAGAGCTAGCAAGCCAGGGAGATCCTACAATACAAGGCAGTAATTATAGCATCTCATGCCTTTCTTGCTTATGAAAACCATAACCTTGCTCATTGCATGTCCCAAAAAATACTTTGGTTGGGGATTAAGTAAAACATATTTAGCATGTTAATATATATATAACGATTAATTGAACACTTTTTATTTTTGGGTCGGGACTAAATGGTCTAAATATACGTTTGGTTGTTTGGTCGGGTAAACCAAACAGTAGACTGGAGATGACACCAAAAAAAGAAAAAACAGAGGACGGCGCCGTCAAAGGCCAACACGCGTGACGGGCCCTTAGAAGAAAATTAAAAAAGGAGCCAAAAAGCCAAAATAAGAACATTGGCTTGCCCATCGACCTACGTGACGCGTGTGCCATGCCAGCCTCCAAAGTCCAAACACAACAACAAAGCAGAGAGCGAAGAAAGATACCCACTTCTCATTTTCAGAATCACAACACAAAGACCGACCCTTTTTTCTTTTTGTAAGAGAGAGAAAGAGAAAGAGCTGTTTGGTTTGGATTGCCAGAAACATGAACCAGAAGGCAAACGTTTCTAAAGAGCTTAATGCCAGACACAGAAAGGTCTCTCTCCTTCTCTTCATTTTACTTATACAATCTCAAAGTTCTATTCTTTTCTCTGTTATATGGTTGAAAGATTTGATTTTTTTTCTTTTCTTTTCTTGTTTCGTGGCGATGAAATTTTTGGCTTTGTTGTTGGTTGAGTTTGAAGCTGAGCATGATTAAGTGTTTTGGGCTGATGGGTTGGCCTCAAACTCAAACATATGTCAGTTTTTATGCTCCAACTTCAAGTTGGCTAACGCATACTAGCTTGCAATCTTATGGTTTCATGACAATCTTTTTGGGGTTTGCTTGTACCTGGAACACTGTAATTGGATTCCATGTGCTTTAGTGATTCATGACCGTTATCAAAGCTTCTTTGAGCTAACTGGGTTTTTTTTCAAGATGTTAATTGGGTCTTCAGCAAGACGGTTCGTTGCATCTTGTTCTACTTTAGCAGTGTTCGAAAATTCGGCCTAGGCGGCCGCCTAGAGCCTGGGCCCGCCTAGGCGGCCTGGGCGGGTTCTTTTTTTTCAATTTTTTAATTTTTTTAATTTTTTGATTCTGGTGCACCTTATAAACAGAATTGGTTATCTGACACTGCCTATGTTGTTCGTCTTATGTTGCATTCAGTTATTTCACTGAAATAATTGAAAAATTCAGCCGTATTCAGTTCATGATCATATAGTATCTACAAGTATAACTGAACTGTTGATGGTGCAAGCGTGGTTTAGTGAAGGTCCACAATGAGTTGTCACTTGGTCGGAAGATAGTGATAACAATAGTTTATTTCTGCATTTAGCACACAAACACAGCTGTCCATTACATTAGATGTTTTATGTTATACGTTTTTTTATTGTTTTTAATCAACGTAGTTAAGTTTCTAAGCATTTTTAGAACAATTTTTTTGCTTAAAGCTGATTAGCTGAGCCAGACTTGGTGTTCATTTTCCCCTTGTAAATTTTTGTGTTTTCTAACTAGCATTTGAACCAGTTTCACAATTACCTCTAATTTTTTTTGGTCTCATCTGGTGTCCTTGTATGTAGATATTGGAGGGTCTTCTTAAACAACCAGAGAACAGAGAATGTGCAGACTGCAAAACCAAGTGCGTATCTTGGAACGATTTAGATAGTAATTTTTATTTTGCTAAGGCAGAAACAACAGAATAGTTTTTATTCAATAGCAAGGATTAAGGGGAAGACAAAAAGTAATGATAACGTTTTAGATTTTGATGCTGTACTTTTGGTGGAGGTTAATTTTATCATTGTCATCTTATATGGATGGTTAACTTGTAATGGTGTTTTGCGCAGAGCTCCACGATGGGCTAGTGTGAATCTTGGGATCTTCATATGCATGCAATGTTCGGGGATCCACAGGAGTCTTGGGGTACATATATCGAAGGTGGCAAATCTTTTTGCCTATTTATATTGCAGTCAATTTTGTATACATCGAAGTGCTAGTTATATTTTATTCTTTAACTCCTGGCTTATGCACATGAACCCGTGCAATTAGAGGTTCATTCTTTTTTCCTCTTGCTATTCTGTATATGTTTTGCATTGTTTCAAGGATTTTGATGTTGATGCAGGTGAGATCTGCCACATTGGACACATGGCTTCCAGAGCAGGTTGCATTTATCCAATGTAAGTACAATGTCATATGACTGGTTTCTTTTCATTCTGCTGGGAGTCAAGTATAAAACCATGATACGGTACGAGTACTGAAACTCATTTTGGTTCATTGTTGCTCCTAGCTATGGGAAACGAGAAATCAAATTGTTTTTGGGAAGCAGAGTTGCCTCCTAATTATGACAGAGTTGGAATCGAAAATTTCATTCGTGCAAAGTAGGTTTGTTTATTATTGGTTAAGATTATTGGTATTTGTATGATGCGGTACTAGTAGTTCATATTTTGGGCTTAGGTGTTTGGGTGCTTGTGTTATCCATTAGGTATGAACACAAGAAATGGGTTCCTAGGGATGGAAAAGCAAAATCACCTCCAAGGGTGAGTGAAGAGAAGAATTCCGTTTATAGAGCGAGACCTGAAACTAGTAGTCAGCATGGCCATGTGAAAGAGATGGAACGATTTTCTGAAGAGCAGAAAGGTGCTCATCCACCCAGTGCAAGTAACAGGGCACCTCAGCAGGTAAATGTTGTATTGTTTGTTTTCCCTCTCAAATCAATGGACAACTGATGCATATCGTGCTGCCTCTTGTTTTGGTATGTCTTGGTTCCTTTTTTCTTCCATATCTCTGTGTATGCAAGTAAGCTTATGATCTTGATGGACAGGTCAGTCATGATCCAAAACCACACCAACTTGAGCAAAAATCAAAACTAGAAGCAGCCTTGAAAGCTGAACCTGCAGCAAGTCAAGCACCTAGTGCTGCCACGGTTTCCCTACCAGTTAAAGTGGATTATGCTACTCATCTGTTCAATTTGCTCTCTGTGGAAGAATCTAGAGGAAATGACTGTGTGACATCTGCCAATAAGAATACATTGGCTGGTCTCCATGGTATGTTTGTTTTATTTAATATCATTAGAACAACTGTTGCTTCATCATATTGTTTTCCCACCCAGGACAAAAAAAAAATCAAATCAATAACATCTTATAAATTTGGGTTTAGCATTACCATTGATTGACCTTGAACCTCCTTAATGTGCAGCAGATGAAACAAAATTGACCAAAGAGAAAAGTAAAAGATCAGAATCATCTGAAAGCAAGATTCAGCCAAAATATGGTTATGGTATTGAGGATTTATTTATAGATTCAACCCCAGTCACTCAACCCTTTTCAATGAAACCCCAGAATGACGTTATGAACTTACTTGAGAAGGTATAAGTTGCAAAATCTGTTTAGCATGCCATAAGTAGCTGTTGATGTAATGCTGGTAGAACACGATCTATGAATACTTAAGATATAGGTTTATGTTTCTCTCACAAATTTATATTGGATTTTTGGTCAGTCCAGTATGGCTTCTCCATTCTCCATGCATCAACAGCAACTTGCAGTTCTATCTCATCAACAGTCGTCACTCATGGCTGCTGCAGCAAAATCTAGCGCACCCCATTCAATTCCTGCAAACCTACAACCTGGATCCCATGCTATCCACTTGCCAACTCGAAATGGGCAAAGCATTGGCCGGCAAGTTCCTGGAAACCTGGTGCCTGCTCATCCTCCTCCACAACATTATACTCAGGTTGTGCTTATGAAAAAGCTTACAACTAGATTTTTCCATTTCATGTTCCGTCACTTATCTTTTTTGTCTTTTTTTTTTCTGTACAGATTGGAAACGGCGGTCCTACACGCCCAGTAGGGAATGCAGTTCCTTTCCCAACATCAAGGTACACATTATAGATCAATGGATTCCAAATCATACAAATTGAGTGTTGATAGACCTGGTTGAGAAATATTCCGATTGCTTGAGATTTTTATTTTATCTGAAAATATGCAGCATGTACACGACAAGGCCAGTAACTTCAGTGAATGGTGTCACAAACCTTAGAGCTACCGGATTTTCAACAGCGTCACCGATATCTACCATCCCTCCCACTAAGTCGGGAAGGGATTTTGATTTCTCATCACTAACTCAAGGATTGTTTACTAAACGATGAGCAATTGCTCATTTTAACCGCAGCATTACCTAGTTGGTTCCTTCCTGAGATGGTGACTTCAATTGTATCAGCAGCTGTGTATTTCTGAAGTTTAATTCATTATTGAAAGAAATTAATAATACTTAAAAGCAAGGCAAAAAATTTCCTTTTAAGTATGCATACCATACCACATATCTTTACAAAATTGTTTCAGTTTGAAAGATAATAAAAGCGGAGAAAAGAAAAAATGAAGCCACGTTCCTCCTGCCTTGGGAAAATGTTACTTCAAAACCACAGCAGCATTTCTGAGAGCCGGATATGTCTGGACATATTCTATTGGGAAGCTATCAGCATTGGCGTAGCGGAGGTTGGTACTTGGATCATAGTAAGCTGCCTCATTTCCTGTAATATCACATGTTCTCTTGCATGGATGCATTGGGGACGCCGACTCTACATTAACATCTGCAATGCAACCATCATGCCATGCCACGTTCAAAAAAATGAAGTACTAAACTAAAATGATATGTTTTTTTCTACACAAACTAAGCAATCTCTAAAGGACACTTTTTTTTATTTATATAAATATCTCTAAAGGACACTAAATTCAAAATAACAAAGAGGAATAAAAGTGAAAACTTGAAATTATTTATGTAAAGTGTAGCTTACAATTGGGTTCATGGGGTGAGTAATTCTCGTAATTCTCGGCCTGGATGATCTAATTGAGGTGTTTCCAGTGTCTACCCTTTAAAATTCGCCGGGAAAGGTCTATTCCATCAAAATTGTGTTGGAAAATAACAAAAGGTGATGAAGAAGTCTGGCGAAATTTTGTCGAGAAAGAACAAAATTCGCCAAGAAAGTTCTATCTTCTTCTTTTCTTTCTCTCTTTCTGAATTTTCCTCTTCCCATCAGACGAAAATTTGTCGGGAAAGGTCCATCCGGTGAAGATTTTCAATGGGCCCTAAATTTGGGTTTTAATACAAAAACAATTCTTGTGCCTCATTCTGAGCCCACTTCTAGTTTAGGTTTACATAAGTGGAATGCTTCTGAACTACATTGTTTTTTTAAAAATCGGTAAGAAAAATGTTTGAATTATATTTGTATGGTATAATGTCTGGTGTAAATTTGTAATATCTATTTGTATGGTATAATGTCTGGTGTGGTATTGTATTAATGTTATCGTCTTGAGCAATGTCCAGCTCATAGAAAAGCTGGCTCTTGTGTGAAGCTCAGATATTATCGACTTGTTGGCTTCATTTGTTTGTATATACCACATTGTTGCAAATATAAATAGGAGAATGGTAAACCCAGATAAATAAATAAATAAAAGTTTCTATTGTGTAAAGGAAGAGAGAAGAAAGAATACAAGAGCATGGCTAAGATTATCAACTTGCTTTTGATGCTCTCTCTTCTCCTTGTAGTCGCTTCCGAAGGCCAATTTCTTGGTAAATATAATTTTTCTGTTTTCGAAAAAAAAAATGTAGCATACAAAAATAGATATTTAATATGATTATCCATGTAATTTTTAAGGTTTATATTGACATCTTGTGTTTTTTGTTTGTTGACATTGAAATAAGTAAATGAGATTTTGAAGCCACCGCCCACCCTGAAATGTGAATCAGTGTACGGTGTGAAAAGTGGAGACACCTGTTTTGAGATTGCACAGACTTTCAACTTGCCAACTGAGTTCTTCGATTCAATCAATCCCAATCTGAATTGCACAGCTCTCTTTGTAGGCCAGTGGGTTTGTCTTAACGGCACACTTAGTTAATAAAGCTGCATCCTGCATTCTGCATGCAATGCATGATGAATAAGGAGATCACAAAATGTATTTGATCACCATGTATTTGTTGATTGTCTTTTTGGCCCAATGTCTTAAGGGTCAGATCGGGCCAGTTGTGTTCAAACTTGATGCAATTCCAAATGGGAACCTCAAAAACTTATCCAATAACAAAATCCATTGAGAATTTCCTTCAAGCACAAAAGTGCTTTTGCTTGGTATAAAAGTAGTCTAAGAGCTTTTTAAACAGTTGGGAATCACGCAAAAAGACACTTGCATCACGCAGCAGCTTGTATGTGAAGACCCAAAAGTGCTTAATTGAATGCATTGTTGAGATGAAGAGAGACTAAAAAGAGATGCAAAAGAACCAAAATTTAAAGCTAAGCATATGATACCCAACTTTTTTTTTAGAAAAAGAAATGAAACCAGTTATCCAAATCTATCCAAAAACATATCCATTAGCATTTAGGTGAGCCCAAAAAGCGTTCCTATATATATATTTAAAGTCTGGTCATGCGATACTTCTTCTTTTTCTTTTTCATTTCATAGGAAGTCCGTGGCCAAATTGACAAACAACCTCCCTCACACCTCCCTTTTGCTACAAGGATTTATTTGGCATGTGACTTGTAATTCGTACGGCATTATTTGTTGCCTTCACATTCAAGCTTTAAAAATACCATGCCTTGTTGCAATCTCATTATTACAATGTAGAAAAAGGGCAAAAAATGGTACCCAAAAAAGCATGTGAAATTTGATTCCCCCACCACTTTGCAATAAAGCCGTAATATGAATGATGGCAATCTTGATTTGGTGTTTGGGTGCAGTTTCCGTCCACCCGAGAAAGTTCCCTCTAGTTTTCCACACAAATCATTGTTTAATCCAATGTGCCCCATTATCTATTTGATCACATCAATGGCTCATAACCATCCATGATATTCTATCGATAATATACCTTATCAATTATGTCATCAAAAGCTATGATTTATCTGTTATAACTTTCATACTTTGCTAGAGAGATCACTTTATTATATACCACATCGTTTATCTGCTCACTATTGAAGGTGAAATTTAATTGTATTGATAGATTCTATTAAAAATGTGGTACAATAACGTGCTCTTCATAGCATTATTTCAGCATTATTTACATGAAACTTTCGAGTCTCTCAATTATAAGGTTGCTTAGAAGGTTGTAAAGGTTATAGCTAACTCATGTACGAATTCATTTTATGTAGACAGAAGTACCTGCAACTACCATATATATGATAAAGGTCTCACTCAAAAACGGCCCTAAACCAAGCTGGACATTACCATAACTATACCTAAATTGAAATGCCTTTTGATTGAGCCAACCTTAGTAGCTCCACCAATAATTGCATGGCACTCATCAAGAAATTTTAATTTCAACTTTTTGATCCTTACTTGGTGGACAATTATAGACTGTCAGCTTTACTCTGTTTTGCCAGTTTTGTCATTCGCTTTTTTAAAATTTCGATTTGCTGGACAAGTCTGAGTGGCTTATGGTGCACAAGTTTCGACCCAACCATTGCAGTGGAAAAGTGGAACCAGAATAGTGCTTTTGTTAAAAGTCGAAAACACAATCCTAGCTGTGGCCCAACCCGCATAAGTCAGCACCTCCCCAATATATGCAGGAAAACTTACTTGCAACAACGTAATAACACTATTTTGCTAATCCCGACTACTATTACTTATTATATGTTGAAAAATTATTCCACATGCTCTCATTGCATGAAAGTGTTTCTCTTTAGTTGATTCAAAGATGCTTGTAAATAATGGACACAAATTTATAGCAAAAATAAATTTGACATAAATGCTTTTTTTTTTTTTTTTTTTTTTTTTTTTTTTTTTTGGGTCAAATTTGACATAAATGCTTGCACAACCATTTTTTTATATATAACCATGGCGTTGGAAACAATAACAATATTCACTGCTACCAAAAATAAAATAAAAATAAAAAGTAAATGAGGAGATGGGCATCACATTAATAACCCATGACCAATTACACATTTTTGACAGTTTGACCAGCCTTGCCCATCTCATAACCTCCATTGGGGTGATCTTCTTCCTCACTGACGAACCTCTTCCAATACCAGTGTGTCCTCCATACTCTGCCCATCTCCTCAATTGGAATGCCCTTTGTCTCCGGCAAGAAGTAGTAAATGAAAATGGACATCACGAACACAAAGAACGCAAAGAAGAGGAAGAGCCCAAATTTCAAATGGCAGAGCATCGTCAAGAAGATTTGAGCCACGATGAAAGTGAAGATCATGTTCACTGAAACATTGACGCTCTGAGCAGCTGATCGGATTTCCAGTGGGAAGATTTCACTGGGGACGAGCCAACCCAGTGGACCCCATGACCATGCGAAGCCTGCAACATATGTGCAGATGAAAATCACCACCACAATTGCATACCACTTTGGCAATTCTCCAGGGGTCCCATCCACCCCAAATTTTGCACCAATACAAGCTGTCACAACTGCCTGCAATTTGAAGACAAACAAAAACCCAATTGATTAAAATCCAAAAACCAAAAAACCCAACTGTTAAATTACAAAAAGATTTGAACTTTTTATGTTTTTTGATAAAGGGAACCTGGCAAATAAGCATTTGAGCTCCACCCTGAAGGAAAAGAAACCTTCTTCCCCACTTGTCAACACCATAAATTGAAACCATAGTTGCAAGAACATTGACACTGCCAGTGATCACAGCTGACATGAGAGAAGCATCGCTTCCAAATCCAATTGTGTTGAACAAAACAGGGGCGTAGAACATGATCACATTGATCCCGGTCAGCTGCTGGAAGAAGGGGATGAGGATGGCCATGCTGAGGTGAGGCCTGTACTTCCTCTTCAACAGGTTCCTCCATGGATCCTCAATCTGCTTGGACGCGTCACTAGCAGCAACAAGGTCACTGAACTCCTCACTGACATCGTCCACGCCGCGAATGCGCTGAAGTTTGGCCTTGGCTTCATCGTGTTGGCCGCGCTCAATCATGGAGTTGGGTGTGTCGGGTAGGACAAGGGAGCCAATTGTGATTATAAGAGCTGGCACCATAGCGCCACCCAAGCTCAGTCTCCATCCCCAGCCGCCGTGGATTTTGGCGAAGAAGTAGTTCAGGACATTGGCCACAAGGATACCAATTGTGATCGATAGCTGGAAGCCAATGTTGAGAGCTCCTCTGAATCTGTAGGGTGCCATCTCAGAGAGGTAGAGTGGCACAGACTGTAATTACAAAACAAACATGACAACAAAAGAATAGATTAATTCATCAATGATTATCCCCAGTTTAGATTAAACTTTTACGTTTGAGTAATGGTAATTTATGAACAAATTAATCAAAGTGAACAAAACGGTCA